AAAATAGAGCCTGGTCACCTGCCTTCAGTAGAATGAAAGGTAGGACAAAAAGCCAGTGATTTTGTAGGCCTTTTGTCTGGAATAGTGATTGCAGGCAGCTCCACAGTAATGGTGATATTTCTGCTGATGCCAGTGGACGTTGAGTCAGGGCTCCCCCATGGCTACTTGCTTGGTACAAGCCTCCCTGTATAGTTTTGCTATTCAGTCTTGGGCATGAAGTACACAAATTGCCTCTTACTATTTCTGTGTTGCCCTTTCAGCTCTGCCATTTCCTTTAGACTTGGCCAGGAACATGCCAGCTAGCTAATTTTGGAGTTAGCTCTGTTCTTTAGTGAATTTCTGTCAATTCCTTCTTCTCATCTTGGAGTCCTTAATAGCATTTGTTTTTCTCCCTTGCCACCTGGACTGCTACCAGGACTGGAAGAGACTTGGGAAAGCACGAGGTATTAGAATTTGCAGTTGTGAAGTGTGACAAGCTGAGGTGCCCAGCCAAAACATCTCTGCTGTGCTGCTGCAGAGATGTAACTGTGTACCTTTGGGGGAAGCTGATAGCTCCTCTCAGCAAAGACAGAATGATGTAGAAAGTAGGCATTTGATAGACTTGAGATCCTTTCCTTTATCCTTGTAGCTTATTTTCCTGTGCTGCTTCTGACTGATTATCTAGGCATCATCTTGCTAGTTTGTCTGTGAGTGGTGGAAGTGCTTTGCCAAGAAGATAAATATTTTTGCAGTAATCTTGCCAAGTGCTGTGACTTGCTTTTAGGAAGTATTCATAGGCTGAGGTTTGGACCTTTCCTTCTAGCTTGAGTTGCCCTTTGCAGAGAGAGAGTTGTTGGGTTTTCTCTCCTCCAGGAGAGTCTTCCCAAATCCCAGAATCCAAACAGTATTGAGAAGAGAGCCAGCCCAGTGGTAGCTGTCAGCTGTGGGCTGTGCTAATGCTGCACTTTATTCCTGGGTACCACATTCCTTAATAGCATCTGACCCTGGCAATAAGCCCTTTTTTTTTTTTTTCCCCAAACAGATTTCTGCCCTAGTTTTCATGTTTAACAAGGTGATGAGGTGGACTGTGATTAAAAATAATAAAAATGTGGTAATATGTTGGGATGCAACAAAGCCAAAGCTAATCTGGGAATGATTATAGCTAGAGTGAAGCCCAGCTCTAGATCAGTTGCACAGTTTGATGTGTGGCATGTTGGTGTCAGTTCAGGACATGGCTAAGGGTGTCTGGTTTTGTTCATAGAGAATGAACCAGTAATATTTCATTACCTCAATTAGGAGCTTGTGAAATATTTCTTTTGGCCTGTCTGTCAGCTAGCAGAATCCTTTAGTTGAGCCAGTATATAATGTATAGCTTTAGAAATGTGCTTGCACTGTTTGTTTCTAAATGGGTTCCTTGATAAAGGGAGAGAAGGAGGCAGAGAGTCACATAACTCTGCCCTGGCTCTTTGTCACTGTTCAAGGCAGCACTGAGATAACCTGAAAAACCTTGGGCTGCAGAAAAAATGTGAAGATAAAACAGAGGAAAAATTTGAAAGAGCACCCAACCAGTCCATGGATCCATGCCCATGGAAGCTGTAGCAGCATGTTAGTAGTATGCCTTTGCTGTCCTTTTGTAAGAATATAATCCTTGTAAAGTCTGACACCATCACCGGGGATTCTTGAGCATTTCTTGAATACATCTTATACCTAGCTTTTGCACAGAGGGCAATGGCCAGTTGCATACATGTTCTTTTAGCAATACATCCCCTTCTAAGTTTTGGGTGCATTCCTGTGTTTTAGAGCTGAGTATACCCTTTTTTCCCTGTCTCTGGTTTGTTTCTGTGTTCATACTTCTTGGACATCACACTATCTGTGTTCTACACATCCTAGATGTCATCTCTGGGCTTTGGTCACCTCTTGCACCATATGTTCAAACTCCAGTGTAGTTGTGCAGCTTGGAAATGAAATGCAGCTTTCTGATATCTGATTTTCAAATCAGTGTATTGTCATGCATGTTTTCCCTTCTCCTTTCTTTTTTAGTTCTAAAGGCCTTTTTTCAAAAAGTCTATTGATGCTTTGTTTGGCACTTGCAGTCTCAACCCCCTGTGAAATTGTAATCATAGCAGCCAGTTCTGTCTGGGACATCACAGGCTTCTGACTTCAGGTAGGGAATAAGCAGCAGGACTAGAGGAACCCTTAATAAATATCCTATATTCATTCAAAATGTCCCTAGTTGCCTAACCCAGTTTGGAACAGTGAATATTTCAGATGACACATGCTCTACTCTACCATTTGTACTTCAAACATCATCATAAAGTGTACTAAAGTTTTTAGTAATAACAGCTGGGGATAGAGGGAAGCAGAAAGAAACTTTGAAGCAGATCTGTCACAAATAGAATGTTTCTTTGCATACTTCAATGCACTGAAACAGCAGCAGCTCTTGAAAACAAGCAAGGCATTGAAAATATGTTTGTGTTGCAAGTACAGGGTTTCTCTGTAACCCCTAGTTCATCATGCATTATGGGTGATAAGTGGGACAATGGGGGATAATATGGGAGAAATTACTTTGAGGGAAGAATGGGGAGTACTCTGAGGTTACAGTCTGCATTTAGGAGATCCAGTTTTGGTTCTTTGACCTCAGTTTTGCAAGACCCTGGGGAAGTGACTAACAGAATGCCTGTGTGCTGCAGGGTGCATGGCTGTGGAGGCGTTTTCCACTGCCAGCTCCAGGGAGGTCACCTTGGCAGTCCATGGGTCGTCATTGTGCAGAGCAGCACACCTCTAACGTGTCTGCATCTCAGCACCCTGCTTGAGAGATTAGGTATTTGGTTTGTGTTCCCCTCCAGAGGGGTTGTAAGGATAAATGTGCTGGATTTCTCAGTGCATGATGTCAGGCAAACTCACAGGTTGGAAAGTTGAGTGAGTGTGTGGGTTTGGGATCTGTGTATTGCCAGAAACAGAATAAAGCCTCTTGAGCATTCTTACATGTATTGATTTTGTACTTCCGGAATATCCACTGTCCCAGGAGACTAGCACTGATACATAATTATTTAGATTAAACAGAAACTTTCTTGAGTTTATGAAAAATTATTATTTGACTCTTTTTTTTATTTTTTTCTTCCATCATATGATGCAGATTCCATCTGAATCATGCAGAGGGGTCAGTACTGTCTTACTCTTGTTTCTCTTCCTTGTTTTCCCCTTAAGGAAATACAAGTCACTTGTGGAGTAATCTGATTTTATGGGTATTATGCAGAAAACCTGCAGGAGAATTGGGGTCCTTTGGTCATCGACAAGACCACCCCACCTTCTTACATCTGTTTCATTTTATTTGAAATTGTTTAGTTCTTTTCTGTGTAGAAGATTGGTTCAGAGGAACAGCTATGGTTCTCTTACCAGAAAATGGTTACAGTTCTGGCACTTACAAAGTACCCATCAGTGCCCCTATTGTTGCTGTGATGTCTCTTTTGTCAGGCTGCATGTGTGGGGCAGCTCATTCTCATCCCTCTCCCCATCCTGTTCCAGCTAGTTTCCAGGTAGGAAGTAGTATAGCAGCTATAGGTTAAAGCAGAGCTAGAGATTTTGCTTTTAATCAAGTGCCTTTGAGAGTGAGAAGATTTAGATATGAGTCTCTACTGGTTGTACCTTATCCTGGCCCTGTTTTCTGGGATAGCAATCATGGAAACCAAAATATTTATTTTTCTTTAAAAACAAACAAACCCACATCACCACCACACCCCTACAATCTTCCTATTTCATATAATCCTTTTCTTGCTTGCTTATCAACCACCCTCACTGCCTAGATTAAAATCTCTTCTAAGCCCTATTATACCACTGTATTTCCATCAGCAGGGGAGCAGAAAGAAGGACATGCACAGCAACTTGCTTTCAGATGTAATTTTTCTCGTTAGCAATGGCTTTTGGCCGTAAAATGACAGGTCTGAGCCCACGGGGATATTTCTGTCCCAGCTGTTTAATCATGTTGGACCAGCATTTTCTGTTGTGCCTTCATTAGAAGTTAAGAGAATGTTGCTGGGATGCTATGGCCTGGCAGGGCTTGTGTCCATGTTAAGCAGGCTAATCATTCTGGTTTTGAAAGGTCTTCTGCCTGCTGTTAACTTCTGTGGCCCCAGAGATTTTGAGGTGGGATGGGGGATGTAGAACAACTGCCATCTTTTATTGCTATTGCTGCTTGTTCTTTTTAAACTTGAAAAGTTTGATTCAGTTCCATCAATGTCATGTTTTCTTAATGTGAGTTCAGTTTAGGGGTGGGAATATAATTAAGTGGTGCTGGCTGTAAGGAGCTAGAAGGCCACAGCTGTTGCTGTGCCCACACAGACTTTTTAATTGAGCACTGTTTAGCTGATGAATACCAGATTTACTGTTTTGATAGCGCCATGCTTATAATTTGTAAGATTGAAGAGAAACTCTTTGACAGCCGTCTTCCCTCTTGCAGCACCAGCCAGAGGAACTCCAAGGATACTAATGGGAAATGCATAGAGAGTATGTGGAGAGAGTACTTAATTATCTGGATAGTCCTATGTATGTCTGTTGTAGGGGAGTATTTAATCCGTAGAAGCTTTTGGACACTCCAAGGGGCAAGGGTTTATAAAGAGTAGGATTTGAGGGGATTTGGTTGGTTTTTTCTAAGGTAAGGGGAAGAACATTTGAGTAATGACTGTCGTGATTCATGGAAAAACAGACATGGATAAGATGGGACTCTGAAAAAGGGAATGGGAAAGTGTCACCTTTCTATGATTATACGTTTTAATTTAACAAGAAGTGCAAAATCAAGGGTTTGCGTTTGAGTAGGATGCTAATAAGAGCATTTCAGCACTGGGAGATAACTCAAAAAAAGCTGCAATTCTTAAGGTATGTAGTTCCGCTGAGGGTGATCCCATGCGCGAGTCCTGAGCAGTGATTTTTTTTTAGACCCTTCTACTTTGCATCTCATGTGCTTTCCTTGCATTGTTTGTTTTTAATTTCTTCTTCTACCGATGCTGTTTTGCTGTCCTTCCCAGGCTGTGGAGCTGCAAGGCTGGGAGGCAGACCTGAAGCGACAGGAGGCCTTCTATCAAGAGCAGTTGGCCCGCATTGAGAAGAAGGTAAGGCTGAGTTGTCTTCATTTCTGCCCCTGCAGGGGTGGGACACGGATCTGTGTGGATCCAAAAGATACAGACCAAGATGTGATCTGTGTGGATCCAAAAGATACAGACCAAGATGTGATCTGTGTGGATCCAAAAGATACAGACCAAGATGTGATCTGTGTGGATCCAAAAGATACAGACCAAGATGTGATCTGTGTGGATCCAAAAGATACAGACCAAGATGTGTTGTGCTGCAACCTGGACTGTCAGCTGACAGTATCTTATCCGCACCCCACCCCTTAAGTAAGTGATGAAAAAGCTGTACAAATCTTTTGAGCAATTTGCGTTTGAAAGATAAAGGTTTTTTTAACTGGATGATTTTTTAAAAAGGATTTCTGGTAGTTCAAACTCTATTATCTTTTTTTACCATGGGATTTAGGTGAAAGCTAAATTGAAAAAACAAACAAATGCCCTGGTTTTTATTTCTTTTGTTAAAAATCCTTTTCTTAATAAAAACAAAAAAATCAACCACCACAACATAAATTTTACTATAAATATGAATTAAAGTTGTATTAACAATTTTTCTCTGGGGAGCCAAACAGTTCAAAGAGTGGTGCTGCAGTACACTGCCTGCTTCTTGCTGGATAAGCCTTTGAAATAAACATGATTTAAAGAGACACTGTCAAGCATCTTTTAAGCCTGAAATGACCTTTGAAAATCCATTTAGGGATTTGAATCTCTCCCCTAAACGTGGGATTTGCTTCTCTGTTTAATTGTTTACCATGATGAGTTTTTAAAAATTGATGCCATAAAAATAGGAGCAGCCATGCTGTTCCTTATGAACTAATGTGTTCTTCACTTCCTGGCAAAATGAAATAATGTTATAAGTAGTCTTTATTTTTTAATAAATGTGGAGAATAATCTTCTCCAATTTGAAGCAATTAGACCTCCTGTCAGGGAGTTGCATACATTCAACTTGTAGTTGTGTTATGTGACTAAAAAGAAGTGCAAACAATGAAAAGAGTGGGTTGTAAAGAGACTGAGAAATCAATCAGTTTTACTACCAATATGTAGCAGGATGGTGAGTATGGAACATGGGAAAATTGTAGATTATAGAAACGGTAGGGAGCTGTTGGCATATCTATTCCTCTTTTCATTCCCTCCTACTGTATGACTGTCCGTGCTGCATTTTTTGAGCCATCAGTGGTAAAACATGCCTGTGAGCAAATTCACATGATACAATCCTGCAACACTTTAATCCGTACAATTCATTAAAAATAAACTATTAAAACTACCGCTCAGTGTTGCATTTGTATTTTAAATTCTATTTCTAGATAATGGGGATTGTTCAGTGAAATTGCAAACAATCTAGTAGCTATCGTTCTAATTATCACAGTTGTCCATATGTTCATAGGCAAAGGGAATTTTTGCAATTTCTTGATCCCATGCTGTTTGCTTCTATTATGTTCTTCTCTCCGGATCTGGTTTCATGAAGCGGAAATTACAGGGAAAACCTGTGAGTCTGTCCTTTATGGACAGTGGAGTGGGGAGAAGTCTGTGTCCAGCCCTCATTGTCCTCTTTTTGAAATCTTTTGTTGTCATGTGTGTTTTCAAGTGTGTGTCCCTTGCTACAGGGACATCTTTATAAACAATGTGAAGGATATTTTAGTGCGGGATCTTCTCAGGGGGAGGAAGGTGAGCTGCCCATAGTCCTATTCAAACTGAAGAGCTACAGAGAAACTATCTTCTAGTTGGTTTGTGTACAAAAGCAAATAGATAAAAAGAACAGGTTTTCTTTCCTCTCTTGAAACACTGGATAGTTTCTGACCCTTAAAGACTAGCATTTTGCTGGTAATAAAATAGAAGAATGCCTCCAACCGTTAGTCTGGATTGGAGTGGGAGGTGGTGGGGGCTAGAAGGGAAAGGAGAGAAATGTACTTGAAACAGTGTAATAAAGCTTAATTGTATTAGTTTTGAAAAAGGTTTTTGATCTTCTCTGAGGATAATTTTATTCCTATAATGGTTGGAAAGATGGGAAATGCAGCACAGAACAATCTTTTTTATTAGCTGTTGCTTTTATATAATTCTGCTTTTATTTGTTGAATACACGCAGACCTTGACATTTATTTATATATTTTTCCTTCCGCTGTGCTAAAGCTTTCCAACTCAGGCTTAGGTATATTTTTATATCTGTGTCCGTGTATGTCGATATTCGAAAAAAGCTCTCAGTAAGGGGATGGTGGGAGAGAGCTCTGAAATAGAATTTTGCTTTCTCTGCTGTTTTAAAAGGGGATGGTCACTTGAAGTGTGGTCACTGGTAGTTCAGAGGTGTTTGGCCGGGAGTGAATGAATGTGGCTCAGTGTGGGGTTAGCAAGCTGAAATTTCTCCTTCTAAGGATCAGGCTATCAGGAATTCCCCTCTTTCCTTCCCTGCTGTGCCCAGGTTGGTTTTGTCCTCACTTCTGCATGATAACAGGATTCAGCAGTAGGAGACTTAAAGATTTGTTTTTGAAGGATGTTTTGAGCTATTGATGTTAAAAACTCAGTACCTTCCCAGTAGGATGCTGAGAGTAATTGTGTTACATACTCCTTACAACTGCTCAGTGAATCAAACAGAGACTATCCTGTTTCCTCTGACAGTGGTCAGTTTGTAAAGGCTTTGAAGGAAGAAGAAAAAAAACATGACCAAAACAAAGTGACAAAGAAAACTTTTGGAGAGCAGCTTTGAGAAGAGTCTTCCTAAATGTTGTCAGTTGGAGGCAGACACTTGCCCTGCTACACAAGAGTTTATTTTCGTTCAGTATTTTTATGCACCAAAAGTTGATTTAGTGCCATTGTTCTTCTGTGCATCTCAGGCATTTTTCCTGTAGCCCTGTTTAGCTCTGTGCCTCCAACATCATGTGGCAGTGTGTGCCACAGGTTAACTTATATACTCTATAAATTCTCTTTTATCACTTTCAAATATTTTTTGTATTTAATATCTGTCATGTGAAAGAGATGAAAGAAATTCTCCTCATTATTCATTATCTGCAGACTTCTGTTCCCTCTTTTACCTTCCCATTAAACTGTGCAGTCCTTACCTTTTCAGCCTCTGCTTGTGTGAATGATTTTTTTCCAGGTTTCTCATTCTACTTGTTTGTCTTTTGGCTCTTTCCCCCTAGCAGCTCTGTCTTTGAGATGTATTGACCAGAATTGAACTCAGTAGTTCCCGTGAATGCAGCAGATTGTGTGAATACATTATCCTTTTATTTTGTAATCTTTGAAAGAGTACTGTAATCTACTGGACAGAGCACAGAATTGGAAGGAAAAACCTGCTCATTTTCTAATAGCCGTTTCTCTTTTGGGAGTTTGAAACAATTATTTAGTCCATCTACCTCAGTTATTCCATCTATATGATGGAATAGCTTATAATGGGAGGGCAAAGTGTTGTGAAACAGTAAAGCTATAAAAATGCTAAAAAGGCTTTGCCTTTAGTTTTGCATGAGGTGAACTATAGATGTACCTTATTTCAAACAGATCTTGAGAAACTCAGTTTCTCCAGACAGTCTTATTAAAATTTTCACGGGAAAAGGCATGTATGAAAAAATAATTGCAGTATTTCAGCTCTTGGGGTTTTCCCTGCATCTTCTACTAAGGCACTGGAAGAAATGAGACAATGAGTGCAGCAGTTCTGTGTCACAGTAAGGATCCATCTTGTTCAGTGTGCTGGTCCTGGCTGTGTCTGAATGTCCAGGGATAACTGTAAGAACTGAACTGATGGGAAGAGAGGCTGTGGAGTCTCCTTCACTGGAGACAGTCAGGGAGCATCTGGACACAATCCTGTGCCCTGTGCTCTGGGATGACCCTGCTTGAACAGGGAGTTGTGGGACCAGGTGACCCACTGTGGCCTCTTCCAGCCTGTGATCAAAGCAAGGTTATGGGCTATTTGCCCCGAATGCTTTGACCATCCTGGCTACTCATTTTTGGAACTTCTCCTCACGTATTTAATCCTCAGAGGGTTGTGAACCAGGACTGTGTGCACAGTGCTCGGGATGCGGGGGGACTGTGAGCGTGTGTGGCAGCTGTGTCAGAATCACTGTTTGGTTCTCTGTTTCTTTGTAGTGCCTGACACTTGATTTGCACTTCTGACTTGTGTTGAGCAAATGCCACACACTGCTGCTACTGGCAGCATTCCTCTGTTTTGAGTGCAGACTTGAATATATACAGTGGGAGTACTGGGATTAAGGCAATGCTGGGATTAGTTGCTGGGAATATTCTTCCCACTGCACCCTTCGTTGTCAGTTTGTCAGGGGTTGTGTGTGTGGGAAGGGATGGTGGGCTTTGCTCTGCCTGCAGTGTGGTAGATGCTTTTTAGAGATTATTTTTAATCAAATTTTATTGAACAGATTCCTTGCAGAGGATCATTACACTGGTAAAACCCTTCATCTTCCTCACTTTAACTCTGATAGTGTGTTGTAGTTGTGTGTTTCTGTCTCTTGGGTAACATGTATGTTTTTGTTTTGAAGTATCTGAAATATTTTGGTAATCAGGAAAATGAGAGGAAAAAGCTCCTTTGAATTGGCTGTTTCTTGTATGACTGTGTGTGGTTGCAGGGTTGGAGCTGGTGATACAGACTTTCCATCCCACACCTGTGTTTCCAATGTGACTGTTTCATCTCCAATAAGTAATCCAGTAATGCAGCCTGACTAATTTGTTATAAGTGGTTAAACTTCTAACTCTGACTTGTTTCAGTAATTTTACATCTCATCCATGTAATTTGAATTATTTTATAAAATATGTGTCTTCTCTCAACTGTTTTGAATGAGGTTTGTAGTGTTCCTCTGAGTAGAAAGAATGAGAGTTAGGCTAATAATCTGTCGGGAGAACCTGAGACACACTGAATTTGAGAAGCTCAAGATGATGTTTTTTCATGCATTTATTTGTTACTGAGAAGCAGGGAGGGAGATGGAGGCAGCTTGTTGTAAATAGGTAACACATATACAGTTCAGAACTGGGATTTTTATTAGGGATTCTGAGTA